TATATGAACTCATATTTCAATTGAAATGTATTGATCCATATACCTGTTTTCCACAGAATAAGGATGTCATTGAGTACTGTCTCTAGTATTTCATTGAAGTAAATGCTGTCAGTGTTTCATTAGGAGTAAACAATATCGGGAAGAATATAGTGAGGTCATGCACTCCAATAAGAAGAATCAAAAGGCAGATTATTATTTAAATGGAGAGAGACTCCAAAAATGTGAGGTACAGAGTGTGTTCTTGTTTATGATGCACAAATATTAGCGTGCAGATGCAGCGAGTAATTATGAAGGCAGATTGGCTTTTATTGCAAGGAGGTTGGAGTTTTAAAATAGGGATGTCTTATTAGAACTGTACAGGGTGTTGGTAAAGCTGTACCTGGAGTACTGTGTACAATTTTGGTCCCCGTATTTCAAAAAGGATATACTGGTATTGGAGGCAGTTCAAGAGAGATTTACTTGGCTGATCCTCGAGGGGAAGGGTTTGACCTTTCAAGAACAGTTAAACAAGTTAGACCTTTATTCATTAGAGCTTAGAAGAATGAGAGGTGATTTTATTGAAACATTCAAGATTCTGCAGGAACTTGACAGGGTAGAGTTTGAGAAGATCTTCCCATGAGAAAGGGAACGTCAAAGTAGGGGACAGAGTTACAGAATTAGGGGCTCTCATTTAAAACTGAGATGAAAATAAATTCTTCTCCCAGAGGATAGTAAATGTCTGGAATTCTCTATTCCAGAAAGTTGAGGAGGCTAGATCACTGAAAATATTTAAAGAGTAGGTAAATGGATTTTTGAAATATCAGGGAGGTGATGGCTATGCTGAGTTGGAGTTACTACCTTACACAACCATTAGAAAATGGAACCATAGAATCATAGAATCCCTACAGTGTGGGAACAGGCCATTCAGCCCATCAAGTCCATACCGACCATCCTAAGAGCATCACACCCAGACACACAGCCCTATCCTATCACTGTAACCCCACATTTCCAATCGTTAATTCACCTAGCCTGCACATCCCTGGCAACTATGAGAAATTTAGCATGGCCGGTCCACCTAACCAGCACATCTTTGGAAATCTGCCATTCTGGAAGGGAAGGAGTGAGAAAGGAAACTACAGACCAATATCCTGATAGCTGTCAGCAGGAATATGATGGAATATATAATTAAGAAAGTTGAGTATTGTTGAGGGAATACATATTCATGGAAGCTTTTTGTCTTGTACTCCTTTATCTAAATTTTGGCTTTCCTCTTCAATTTGTATTTTTGCAAATTGTCCTGACAAGTGCAAGGCAAAAAACTTTGACAAAACGTGTCTTTTTTCCAGAAATACTCATCTCTTGTACTAGCGAATGACTATTTGTATTAAGGAAGCCTTATAAAATCATAATCTGGTCACATAGAGTCAACATGGTTTTACAATCTAAAAATAATGATTGACAAATTTATTAGAGTTTTGTTTTGAGTATGTAACCAGTCAGTTAGATAAGGGAGTTGTTGCTGTTGGTCTGGAGTCACATGTAGGCCTGACCAGGTAAGAAAGGCAGCATTCTTCCCATAAAAGGCATTAGTGAACCAAATGGGCTTTTAATGACAGTTTCCAGTGGTCAGATGGTTGCCATTAGACTAGCATTTTATTCCAGATTTTTTCATAGATCATAGAATCCCTAGTGTGGAAACAGGCCCTTTGGCCCAACAAGTCCACACCGAACCTCAAAGCATCCCACCCAGACCCATTCCCCTAATCTACACATCCCTGAACACTACGGACAATTTAGCATGGCCGATCCACCTAACCTGCACATCTTTGGACTGTGGGAGGAAACCGGAGCACCCAGAGGAAACCCGTGCAGACACGGGGAGACTGTGCAAACTCCACACAGACAGTCGCCCAAGGACAGAATTGAACCCGGGTCCCTGGCACTGTGAGGCAGCAGTGCTAACCACTGAGCTACCGTGCGGCCCCAAAAACATTTCACTGACTGCCCTGGTGAGATTAGAACCCACATCTTAAGCATGTTAGCCCGCGGCTCTGGATTACCAGTCCAATGGCATTACCATTATGTTATAACCTCCCTGTTGAATGGTAAAAAGGTTTTTCCTCCCTTATCCTTTTGCATGGTGGAACTCAAACAGGACCAGCTAGCAGGAACAGTGCACAGAAGGATGTCAAGAAGGAGAGAGCCATGGTGGGGCTTGTTGATCATGTAATCAGGAAATATTAAAATTTTGAACAATGCAGTGGGGCGGCACGGTGGCTCAGTGGTTAACACTGCTGCATCACAGCACCAGGGCCCTGCATTTGATCCCAGCCTGGCCGACTGTCTGTGTGGAGTTTGCACATTCTCCCCGTGCCTGCCTGGGTTTCCTCTGGATGCTCCAGTTTCCTCCCACAGCCCCAAAATGTGCAGGCTAGGTGGATTGGCCATGCTAAATTGCCCATAGTGTTCAGGGATGTGTAGATTAGGTGGGTTATATGGTAATAAGTCTGGGTGGGATGCTCTGAGGGTCAGTGTGGACTTGTTGGGCCAAAGGGCCTATTTCCACACTGTAGGGATTCTTTGAATAATCATTTTAAAGCAAATTGTGATTTAAAGACAGAAGACTTTTACCAGCCAATAAACTTCCCATTTTTCTTTAAGAAGACAAATACCAAGGACAGCTGATATATACAGCTTAAATGTACAAGATAGACAGTGGGGCTAGAGCCTTTGGCTTAGGTAGGAAAATTCAACTTTGGCCTTTTAATCATAAGGTGGAAGGTTAGCATGAGCCAAATTGGGTTTACAACCACACAACTAGATTTTACAACTTGTAAATGCCGCAAACAATCTCCATCCCCAGCTCTGGAACCTCAGACAGTGGAGACTTGACTGTGTGTGAGGATAATACTGAATCCAAGAATGAGGTAGAACATAGTGAATCGTAGAATCTCTACAGTGTGGGAGCAGGTCTTTCAGCCCATCAAGTCCACACCAACCCTCTGAAGACCATCTCACCCTGACTCAACCCCCCCCTAGTCTATCCCCATACCCCAACATTTCCCATGGCTAACCCACCTAGCCTGCACTCTATGCGCATTTTAGCATTTTGTCCACCAAACCTTCACATCTTTTGACTGTGGGACGAAAGTGGAGCACCCGCAGGAAGCCCACGCCAACGCAGGGAGAATGTGCAAACTCCACACAGACAGGCACGCAAGGCTGGAATTGAATCCAGGTCCCTGACACTGTGAGGGGCAGCTGTATTAACAACTGAGCCACCATGCCGCCCACAGAGCTGCTGTCTAAAAATGGTTTGTCCTTTATAAAATAGAAAACTGACCTGAGTTTGTTCTAACTGGGGAATTTGAAACAAAGGAAACAATTTCAGAGGGATGGATTAGTCATTTTCATTAGATTTTTCACCACCTTGTACGCATTGCTGTTAATCATTGTTACTGTTTGTGGGTTCTTAGACTGCAGACAGACTATTCATCCATTAGACACGATTGACAATGAAACAGCAAAGTTCTTAAAAGCAGTGAAGGTGTAGATAAGTATATTTAAGAAATTTCCTACTCCAATCTTTGACTAAACAATATACTTGTAGATTTAAAGATCCATCTATCTTAAACTATTGAACACTGTCATTGGATACCTGACATCTATCCAACTTGATGAATCATTTTTTCATGACTCAGGGTCACTGTGATCTCTAAGTGATTCACCAAATTGGCAGGTAACCAAAGCTACTACCTCTCAAATCTCCTGTTTTCTATGTAAAATGAAAATGCAACAGACATGATGCCTGTAGATACACAAGTATAAATGTTCTTGCTGCCACTTTGTGGGAGCTGTTAACTTGCTGAGTATAAAACCCTGCACTCAGATAGCAAGGAGACATCAAGCCACAGTTCAAACCATCTTAACATGAAACAGCATCCCTGTCAGGGGAATCTAGAACACAAGAATATGGTTTCAGGCCTCGGGGACAATAAGAGAAGAAATGTCTTCATTAAAAGGATTGTGAATCTTTGGAATTGTTTACCCCAGAGGGTTATAGACATTCCATTGTTCAGTATATTTAAGGCTGAGATAAATGCATTTTGTGGTCTCTCCAGGAATCACAGGATATCGGTAGTGGGCAGGAAAGTTGTGACAGAGGATTAGCCGTGACTGTATTGAATGGCGGAGCAGGGTCGAGGGACTGGATAGTCTTCTTTCATCCATATTCCTTATGGGCCCAAATATCCGCACTCCTCCAACTCTGGACACTACCTATTGTTAGTCACTAACAGTCCCCATTAACAGTCCCCTATGCACCCTCCCAGCCAGATTGTTAGCATCTCCTCTGTCTATCCAACTGCTCTTGTCTTTGGGCTCTGTCCTATCATTTACTCCCTACCCCATCACCCTCCCTATTTTCTGCACACGAACTGATGTTTTCCCAGCTACCACCAGTTCTGAGAAAGGGTCACTGGACCCGAAACATTAACTCTGAGTCTTTTCTTCGCAGATGCTGCCAGCCCTGCTGAGCTTTTCCAGCAACTTCTGTTTTTATTCTGGACAATTGCAATTGTCTGATTTTAATCACTAAACAATTGGTGGTTGAGCCTTTAGCCGCCTAGACCCAAACCCTGGAATTTCCTTCTTAAATCTCTCTCTCTGTATTTAAGATGGTCCTTGAAAACTACTTCTTTGATCAAATTTGAGTCATCTGCCTGTTTCAGTTTCACGCTTTGTTTGCTAAAGCTCCTGTAAAGCACTTAGAGATGTTTTTAACTCGGCAAAAGGCACTATTTACATGCAAGTCGTTGTTAAGCTGATTTCAACAGAGAGTACCAGGAGGTGGAAGAGCATGTTAAAGCTTCTTGGGAGCTCAGTGGGGAACAAAGCTCAGAGGCGCAATGACCAGAATTCAGAGGAATTAATACTGTGCCTTGTTAACAGATACGGGCACAGTGATTGGGGATTGAAAAGCAGCTACCATGGTGACCTTTTCTTTCTTTGCTTTGATGCAGAATCACAACAACAGCTGCATGTATGATGGATCTGCGGAGATACCCACTGGATGAACAAAACTGCACGCTGGAAATAGAAAGCTGTGAGTACTCTTGAGAGAAACTGGCCCCGCAGCAAAAAAAAATTCTCAACCACTAGCATTAGTCTTACCAAGCATCCAGCTGTATCCCTGTCACCATCTCCAGCTCCCAGAAAATAGATCCATCATAATGTCATTTAACATTTTATCTATCAATGGATAGATGCTAGGTCGCCTTTTATTTAAATTATATAGTCAATGAAATCCACTTGGCCCTGGTTCCAATCACTACAATATTTAACAATATAAGATTCCAGTTCATGACAGAGATGCCACACAACCTTTCAAAACCCCTGAAAGGGACTAATTGTAATGGGTTGTCTCATTCCAACGGGCATTAAATTGTTTCTTGAGATTTCTAAACTTTTAACATTTAAATTCTTTCCTGACTTCTCCTTTCTGTTACTTATAGAATCCCCACAGTGTAGAAACAGGCCTTTTGGCCCAACAAGTCCACACCGATCCCCAGAGCATCTCACTCAGACCCATCCCCCTATAACCCTTCTAAGCTACGTATCCCTGAACACTTTGGGCAATTTAGCATGGCCAATCCACCTAGCCTTCACATCTTTGGACTGTGGGAGGAAACCCATGCAGACACAGGGAGATTGTCAAACTCCACACATACAGTCACCCGAGGGTGGAATTGAACCTGGGTCCCTGGCGCTGTGAGGCTGCAGTGCTAACCACTGAGCCACTGTGCTGCCAGTGGTTAGCATTTATCTTGTTCTCTTGCTCCAGTCTTTTCCCTCTTCTCTCTTTATTTGTCCTTTCATTTCTAATTTGACTTTAATGCCCACTCTCTTCCTTGTGCATCATTTGTTTCTTCCTTAACACTAAATCTCAGTTCCAGAGGAAGCCAATTGCTGATTGTGAAAATCTTTTGCCCTCTATGCCAGGACCTGGGACAGAAATCAGGACCTGGGACAGAAATCACTGGTCCTGCTGTTGCTGTTGGCCTGGAGTCGCTGCCCCAACCCTAGCACAGCAACCACACCTCAGAGCTGAGCACTGTAACCCTTCCCCATCCATGTCCCAGCCCCAGCTTGAGAACAGCCGCCCCATCCCAAGGCTCGAGCCCAAACACAGTGGGACCATTTGTGCATTGAGACCCAGTTACTGGCCCTTGATATACCTCCTTGCCTAGGCCCCAGCTCACCCTTCCCACACTTCAGCAGTTTGCTTGGTAGATATTTTCTAGGCTGACTGGTGACATAAACAAAATCTTACAAGTGGAGCATTCCACAAGACTCCCATTCCGACAAACTCTGGGCCATTGTTTAAATATTAATCCTTAGTTACTAGTGTTATAAAAAACCTCCTGTCTCCTGAGGATGGCTTTATTATGTTCGTTTTCAGCTGACTCATCATAATCCTCAAGTTACCATTAGGATTAATGCAATTAAAGTACTCAGACATCAAGATGTGCATTTAACAGCAATGTTTAAAGACAGGGGAATGTTTAATCCAATGGATAGCACACCTGATGCCTACCCACCTGCCTCATCTCCCTGCTACAATTATATTAGTGTTGGGGGGAAGGGAAGTAGAATTAGAATTGGCCTTATTGTCACATGTACTGACAGCAGTACAGTGAAAATTTACAAATAGCCACTTAAAGCACCATCTTAGGTACGAAGTTACCTGGGTATAGAATCTTAAGTACAAATTCTTGGGAAAAAAATTAGAAAAATAAGGGAATAAAATGTCCAGCAATAAATTAAAAAATATCTAAATAAGAGTTCAGAATAAGAGTCCTTCCAATCCAGACCGTGCTGGGCTTCATCTTGAGGCCAGGAGTGCTGGGAGTCGAGAGCGCGCTGAGGCTGGGAGTTTGAGTCCACGCTGGGACCGGCAGTTCCAATCCACAGTAAGGCTGGGAGTTCAAGTCCACGCTGAGACCAGGAGTCTGAGTCCACGCTGAGGCTGGGAGTTCGAGTCCACGCTGAGGCTAGGCATCCACGCTGGCTTTCACCCCAGACATCGCTGATGCCGCCTGAGGACGGGAGGTGAAAAGAATATGTAGTGGTGGTATCTGGCTTCCCACTACCAGTGGATCAATTGAGACTCTGTATGAGCAACTTATTCACACTAAGTTTCTCATCCCACTGCCACTTGGAATTGAACTGACTGCAAGACGGGCCCACACCAAGTACTCAACATGACAGCTTTCTGGCTGCCAGGCCACCTCTACCCTCACAATATGCAACATCACCGGTGATCTTCCATTCCTCCAATAATCAAAAGGATTCAGCACAGTGCACGTTCTCATTGCCTTGCTGCAGTACCAGCTGCAGCCACTACTCCCGGTGGCACTATCAGGACCAGAGAGAAGGGTCTCGGCCCAAAACGTCAGCCTTTCTGCTCCTATGATGCTGCTTGGCCTGCTGTGTTCATCCAGCCCTGCACCTTGTTGTCTCGGATTCTCCAGCATCTGCAGTTCCTACTATCTCTGTACCAGAGAGCTGCTGGCCCCTCGTCTTTTAGTTGCTAATCAGCCTTTAAGTGGTTGCCAGGCAGCTGTCCTTCTCCATGGTAGGCTCTCCCACTGGAAATTTAGATGCAAGAGTGGAGATTCTACTTCCACATTAAATCCAGCCCCAGGAACAAGTACAGAAGTTGCTGGAAAAGCTCAGCAGGTCTGGTAGCATCTGTGAAGAAAAATCAGAGTTAAAGTTTCGGATCTGGTAACCCTTCCTCAGGAACAAGCTCCTTCCTGCGATTGTCATCCAAAGTAAACTTTAACAGTTTCACAAGCTTAGCCAGCGAGTTGCTGAAGCATACAGTTTAACAAGGTTTCTGCAGAGCGAACTGGGCTGGGCCATTAACAATTCATCACCCTTGGGTTACGAAGATGAATACTGGTTGTGGGACCACGCCTGACTGCTAGCTGGTGACTCGAGCTGTAAGTTCAGGGCCAGCAGGCTAACATTGTTCAGGTTCCATCACTAATTGGGACATGAGGGAGTCCTCGGCATCGCTCGCTGTTAATGAGCAAAGTCCACTTGAAAGAAGCCAATTCTAGCAAGGAATCAATGCCTTAAGGCAATAAAAAGGAGATGGGGGAGGAAAGTTACCAAGAGGATATAAACCGTAATCTGCTAAACCAATCAGCAAAGCACAGTTTTATGTGGAAAAGAAACAAACATTCTAAAAAGTGGATTTTTCCTCCAGGAGCTAGAAATTTAGTTGGTTGGAATGAAATCAGGTGCTAAAGCTGCGCCTGGACAGCATTCTGCCACTGTAGGCCAATTAACTGGATGCTGCTGGACCACCATCCAATTGAGAAGGATGCGGGGAGCTACTTGAGAATTGATGAAAAGCTTAGTTTGCAATGATTGACAAGTTAAATTTGAGGTCAGAATTGTATCCTAGTCAGTAACACCTCCAAAACATCTGACAAAACAATTGCGTGCAAGGGCTTATGAAAGATGTAATCTTGTTTATAATTTTCATAGCTGTCAGATAACCAGAGAGGTTGTGTTTTAGTTGGTTTGTACTGGCTTGGATGCGTGCGGGAAAGCCTAAAAGAGTAACATTAACAGAATTATGGAATTGTTACCATGCAGAAGGAGGCAGTTTAGGCCATCATGTCTGTTCTGGTATCAGCACAAATTTTATTGAGATGTTTTCTCAATAATATGAGAAGGAAATTTCTTTGAAGTTGAGCAAATTTGTGCAGTCCCAATACTGTATATTGTGCCTTGTTCCCTAAAGTGAGTGTAGCTCATGTTGACTAAACCCTCAAAGAATGTACCAGGACAGGAAAGGAAGATTTTCACTGGGATTAAAATGAAGTAAAGGATGGATTAACCTGGACTATTCTTAGGGATCTCATAACACCAGTTTCAGAGGGCACTACAATGGACACTAGGGATCTTTGAAGAACCCAGGGATTGGTGGGTGGTTGCAAGGAAGAAAGTGATGAATAGGCCAGATAAATAATGTATTTGTTATTATCTAGTATTTATGGCCCCCGATTTGGATTTTTCCACAAATCAAAACAATTTTAGCTATGTATAGGATTTTGAATGAGTTCAAATTCAGCCCATTATCTCCACACCTACCTGGTCCAACTCATTCATTCTTCTTAACAATTATATCAGATCACCATTATATCTTTCCTGTTCTGAGAAAAATACCCCAACCTGTTCCATCTTTCCTGATAGCTGTCATCTTTCGGCATGAGTACCTACATTTTTGTACATCCTTCAGTGGCTTTCCGTGTCCTTTTAGAGTTCTGTTCAGACTTATGTTAAATATTTAAGGCATCAGATAATTGCAGGTCCTGTTCCATTGCCACAAAAGTTTCAGATCCTTCTGAGATGCCACAGCAATCATGTATTTTATAGTGCAGTTGTCCCATGGGCACTCTATTTAAACCCATTCCATGCAGTTAAGCTGAAAACTCCTTCTCACTTGTTCAAGGATGGCATGACGATCGCTTGACATAATGTGAATCCAACTGTTTTGAGGCAGAGGTCCACGTTACACGCCTTATCTGATAAATCCTTATCTGAGGACACTTCAAATGGCTGTTGGGTTATTGGAAGCTTTCACCTTTCTGGTGATAAAGAGGAGAAGAGGGTGTTTTGGTTGGTCCCACACCTAATTTATAAATATTCAACTCTTTGCCTGATTATACCAACAAGCAAAGTCATCCAATCCCCAGTGCTCACATCTTTCAGCTGGACATCCTACCCCCTCCAAAAAAAATACAAGGTGTAATTAAGCGATGAGTCTGCTTAGGGGGTATGGAAAATGTGGCTCAAATGACTAATGCTGGCTTTGCTTTGGCTTCCAGATGGTTACACAACAGACGACATCCAGTTTTACTGGAGAGGTGGGAACGACGCTGTGACTGGAGTACATAAGATTGAATTACCACAGTTTTCTATTGTGGAGTACAGGCTGGTGTCCCGCAATGTTGTGTTCGCTACAGGTAAGCCTGGCTTTATTACAGTAATATCTACTAACTTTCAGAGTTCTTGTGTTTTTTTTCCTGGAAAGTTAGTATGAGGAATAAGAGGGTAACAATTATGTGTCTTTATTGCAGCATCTTTAACAATGGGTCAAAATAAGGCAGCCTTTTTTATAGGTATGGGTTTCCCTCTGACCAATTTTCCTCTCTCTATTCTATCTGGATGATGTTTGACACCCAAGATATACAAGAAAAAAATTAATATGCTTAATATAGGCTACCACTTCATGAAAGGTTACAGATGATTCAGTTTCTGGTTTATGTTTTCGAATTAATCTGCAATATTAATACTCAAAAGGAGCAGACAAAGGCCATTTGGCCCCTCAAACCTGCTTTGCCATTCAATGAGATCACAGCTGATCTTCTACCTTATCACTGACTTCACTCACTTTCCCTTTACCCTGTAACTTCTTGAATATTTAGATATCTACCAAGTTCTGTCTTGAATATACACAAAGCCTGATCCTCCATAGCTCCCTGTGAAATAAATTAGCAAAGATTCACCATCCTCCCCATCTCGGTCTTGAACATTCTACCTCCTTTTCTGCAATGGTTTCCTTAGGTTCTCGATCCCCTCCGCCAGCCACAGGAAACGTCACCATTCCTGTATCTAAGAGATAAGCCCCTGTAAGAATTTTGCATGTTTTAATGAGATCACCTCTCCTCCTAAACTTGAGCGAATGTAGGCCCATTCCCCCCAATCTCTTCTCATAGGACAATCTTGCCATCTCAGGAATTGAGGAACAATATTCCTTCTTATAATGTAGATGTCACTGGTAAGGCCAGCCATTCATTACCCATCTTGTGTTAAGCCTTGAGAAGGCTCTATTGGGCCTTCATTTGAATGACTCACGATAATGACAAAGGACGTTCACATGTGTCAGTGGTAACTTTAGAGATCAGACTTAGATTTTGATTCAGGACATTTATTTTCAACCAATATGTGTATCTAAGTTATGAAGCTTTCACAATTCCAAAAGCAAATAGTTTTATAATAATGTCACTGCAAAAGCCGCATTGTGAGTTTCTGCCCAATATTGAGTTCTCAACTTCATAGAAACGTAGAAAATAGAAACTGGAGCAGGCCATTCAACCCTTCGAGTCCTGCCCCATCATTAGATTTCAGTTTAGATTTTATTGTCATGTCTACTCATGTATGAGGTACAAGAGTACAGTCAAAAGTGTACAATGTCGCCAACACGCAGCACCATCTTAGGTACGAAGTACTATCGGTGCAAAATCTTAGTTACAGAAATAGAGAGAAAAGAGATAAGTTAAAATGATCAGCATTCTTAGCATAAAAATAGAAAAATAAAGAAATTGAGCAATGGGCCTCCAGGTGCTCCGAGAGGGCTTGCTCTCCCCCGCACTGGATTAAGACCAGTCTGAGCACATCAGGCTTTACTACCACTCTGATGGCTTTGGACCCGAACGCCACCTCATTGCTGATCACCGCTGCCGCTACCATCTTTGACCACCACTTGCCACTGCCACCATCCCGGCACATGCTGGGTCCCAGCCGCTGCCAGGCTGTGTCGCAGCTGTTGACTGCATGGTTTCATGCCTTGAGCCTACACTTCTGTTGTTCCAGACTGTTTGACCTCGCATCTGGCTCACTCCCAATTGGCTTTCCCTGACCGTCAGCTTTGATTATGGCTCATCCTTGAGCTCAATACCATTAATCCAGCCCTGCCTCCATATGCTTTGATTCCATTAGCCACAAGAGCTATAGGCACCTCACTCCTGAAAACTCAGAATGTTTTGGCCTCAACAGCTTTTTGTGGCAGTGAATTCCACAGGCTCACCCACTCTCTGTGTGTGAAAATTTCTCCTCCTCTCAGCGCTAAAAGGTTTACCCCCTATCCTTAAACTATGAACCCTTGATTCTGGGCTTCCCCGTCGTGAAAAAAACTCAATGAATGACTGTGATTATTTCACAGCCGTGCAATCTACTGTGACCTAAATCATGTGATTTTAACTAATAGCAGGCTTCAGTTAGAATCTTGCTCAGTTGTGGCAGTGTGTGATCAGCCTCCTTTTAACTCTGCCGCTCATTAAAATGACACTGGCCGTTTAATGAGAGTTCCTGTTCCTCCTGGAGTTGTAAAGGAGACACAAAGGAGAAATGAAGAATTTTCTGAAGAAAGGTCTAGGCCCGAAACGTCAGCTTTCCTGCTCTTCTGATGCTGCTTGGCCTGCTGTGTTCATCCAGCACTACACCTTGTTATCTCAGATTCTCCAGCATCTGCAGTTCCTACTATCTCTGTCATTGTAGGAGCCCCGTTTTGCATATGGAAAGAAAGATCCTGTCAGCTTCTGGTGGGTACATTTAGTACCTGCCCAAAACATTGACAGCAGCTCAATTCTGGAAGGATGTTGGCAACGAAATTGCCTGGTCAAATTTAAATGCCTACTTAACCAGATTGCTGCTTGGAAAAATGAGTAGAAATCCTTTCCGCCAAATTTGTACTACTAGCACCCCACCCAATTCTCTGAATGAGTTTCAGACTTTTCCCTGAATGAGTTTCAGACTGGGTTTAAAAAGGAAAGTGTTTGTTTGTTTGTGGTTATTTTCTATTCGTTCTTAGTATCATTATTTAGTTTCTTCCAGTTTAGGATCATTGTACGAAAACAGAAATTGCTGAAAAAGCTCAGCAGGTCTGAGGAAGGGTCACCGGACCTGAAATGTTAACTCTGATTTCTCTTCACAGATGCTGCCAGACCTGTTGAGCTTTTCCAACAATTTTTGTTTCTGTTTCTGATTTATAGCATCTGCAGTTCTTTCGGTTTTTGTTTAGGAAAATTGTACCTGTACTCACCTGTATAATGTGGTTCGCCAACTCAAAATCCACATTTATGATTGAGCTGGGCGCGTCCATTTAAGTAGAGCTGCAAAGTACGTCAAACTGCACCAGAGACAGAGTGGCCCATTTATCTGATAATGGTCTAGTGGAACAAGTTGCACAGATTCCAGGTTAGAATACAGCCAGATACAGAAGGGTGTTATTTACCACAAGGCCACCCACAGCTAACACACACCCATTGGATTGACACTGACAGGGACTGCAACTTTTGACTATGTCTTCAAGTCTTCTTTTCATGCATCTTTCAATCATTTTACAATGCTGTACTGTAGAAAGGAGCTCTTATTATATAGAAGTTGCACCTGAATTCTCTATTTGTGATAATCTTACATTTAAACCCCAGATTTTGGTCTTCCCATCAGAGAAAAAAATTACTTCTCTATGTCTACCTAATCACAATCTTGTTTTTATTTTAAAACTCTCTGTAAAGTCACCCCTCAGTTTTCATATTTCTAGAGACAAGAGCCCTAGTCTATTCAGCATCCCTTGACAGGTTTTCATGATCCCAACTGACAATAAGATTGGATGAGGCAGATCCCTGAATGAAACTTGGCTTGATAGATCATCAGTTGTGTGTTTTTACCTTTTTATTTTATGTGGAGGCAATCACTGAACATATTCACAAAAAGTTGCCAATGTACGTTTAACAAAAGAACAGAAACATTTATTACCCACAAGAAAAGTCATAAATTACACCACATTGGACAAGAACTATTAGAATCTATATGATTTCAAGCATCAAAAAGAAGGATTCACCCCTTTTTCCCCTAGACTTGACCTTAGACACACAAACTTCAGCTTAACTGTATGCTAAAGCTTCTCATTCAGTTGGCACAGCTGTAACTGGTTTCCTTTCAGAAAATTTCTCTGCATTCACACAATGCTTCTTTGTTAATGTCCCTCCTTCAGACCATTAAAAACCTGCTAACTCAGCTCACTTACTTTTTAACATGGGTTCAAATAGTTGATTGGTAGTGCGGAACTTAACTATTGCTGACAAAAGTCACCATATATGGAAGCTTTATCATTTTACGCTCACCAGGACAATTTGTAAGAATACCAATTTAAGCAGACTAGTTGGCGAGTAGAATCTGATTGGTAGATACGTTTCTATGGAGAATGTACCAGCTAACAATGACTGGTAATTGACTACCAGGTTTTGTTAAAATTTTAAACCAGGCAGGTTGACTCTGATTGGTCAAGGCATTGCCCTGAGAAATGAACCAGCAAATGGTTGTCACCTATTTTGTTGAGTTGAAACAGGTACAGTGCATGTTCAGTCCAGTTCTATGTGCAAGTGATTATCCATCTGATCTGAGCCAAATTACAAAATCAAAGCTGCAGCAACCTACCTCGAGAAGTACTGATTAATTAAAGGGCTGTTTTGTATATTTTATCAGTTTTCATTGTTCATGTCACACCAATATCCACTCACATATCATCGGATCTTACCTATTTTACATTGTGTGAGTGAGTTGACTCCTTTGTATTGTATCTGGATTTGGGAAGCTGGAGAGAGGATGATCTGCAATTTCATCAAGTGATCCTTGGTACTTAAGGAGTTTCTTATGAATGGATTTGCTCCAAGGCTCTGGTTTACTCAATGAGGCTGAGGTACTGGGACAGTCACAGCAGTTATCTGTCACATACCTACCCTCCCCCAGTGCTGCAGATATGCTGATGAAGGTGGTCACACAGAGAAAAGAGTTGGGAAGACATAGCTACAGTTGTCTGGGCTCCAAACGTGGGCCTGCTCGAGGGAGCATCAGAATCCATTGACCTGTGGTCCACTGAAAGTTTCTCCTTCAGAATTTATTCCTGTTTTGTTCAATTTAGGCTTATATTCAACTAGTGATTGAGCATCAACAGCAGTGAAGCTGGTCCTGCCATCAGCTTTCCTTCAAAAATTTCAACTATTCAAACACATTTCAAGATCAGCTCCAATGAATCTTCAATTTTTCTTTGCCCTTTCTGTGGCTCCTTGTATTTTTGTTGCAATGAAACTTGTGAATGGAATGATTTGCAGCTAGGAGACTAGATTTTAGGGGCGGCACAGCGGCACAGTGGCACAGTGGATAGCACTGCTACCTTACAGCA